GGGGGGCAGGGGGGTTAACAAAAAGGTCTTTTCATATGTAATAGGGAAATAATTCCAAGACTAGGCCCAACCTTTTTCCGCCATACACAGACTCCACACCGCCGTAGTGAGGCTGCGGTAACACGTAAGGCAGCGATCACAAGCTCTGTACCACACGAGCACCAGTCTTCACTCGTAGAGGCGTCTTGTCCTAGTACGCGATGCAGGGCTGAGGCACAAGGACTACGCGGGGGCACAGAAAGCGTTGCCAACGCGCACAGCGAGGCTGGTGGATAAAGCGGTTACTATTTTCTTCAGCTAGAGGCAGCTTTTGGATAACAGTGTATTTATTAATTAGCACTAAGGTATTAACATCTCCATAATCAGTATTAGGCTCCTGAGGACCGTTCCCGGTCGGTCACGAGCGCAGAGGAAGCTGCTGGTGCCGTTCCTTACATCTGATACCAATCGCGAGCTTAAACGTTGCAGCTACCTTGTGACCCCAGAGCTTCCTTTGACAATCGAGTTCAAATTATCTCCTTGGTTCAATGATGACGCGTAGCCCAGCCTAAAAATCCAGATAGTTCATACATGGCATTTTTAGAGCTTAAAAAAGGATATTAGACTTAGTTCAGCAACATTGTGCACACCCCACGACCGGCTGACATCGCTCTCCTGGTGTAAGAAGCTAGAGCAGCACTGCGGGAACGCAGGGTACGGGATCTTTTCAGAAGTGAAGAACTGGACTGAAGCTAAATTTGTACTTTCCCAGAAGACGCATTTTGCTTACAGCTTACCTTGTCTGGTATCATTGCATCAACATGTTAATTGTAAAAATTTATTGTATAGTATTTAACCACTGAATTTCATTTCTTTTATGTTGTGCTTATGTGAACCACTGGTGAAGGTCCCATTTTTCTTGGATAATGTGTAGTTATATGATAATCTGTTTTTAAATGTACAGATATTTTGCTACAAAATTGGTGCAGTTTTTTATGGTTTTTACACTTCTCTTTTATTCCCACTTTAGTCTCTGGGTAATATTGTAAATATTGTTTAAAAAAAATGCATCAGCCTGTGCTATACAATCTGAATGTTATTTTAACTTATAGTTTTTGTTTTTATATTTAACTAAATGGACAGTTTGGGGCTCAAAGTTACCACATTGACCTCTGCTTACCTATTTACAGGACGTTTACTTTAGAACCTGCCACCTTCTCGCATTTACAGCAACGCGTACTTGACACGCTAAAGAGAACATGCCACGCTTGCCTTTCTTCACTGGTAGTGACAGAAGAGCATTTCAATCTGTGTGAAGCAAATTGGCAATTAATTTACTTAATTGCTAGTCAAATGGTTAAAAGTACTAGCTCTCACGTTCTTAAGCTCAAAGGTATTTTTTTAATTTAAGACAAACATTATCATGCAACTAGAATATAATACTGGCATGTTCTCTTTAATATTTTTCTAGTAATAGACCTGCTTCTTAGCAATATTAGAAGTGTTTTATAAAAGCAGTTCCTGTTACTTCCCTGGTCTGTTCCTGGCATAAGATCAAATAAACTATTTACAAAACTACACAGTGACCCAGGCTTGGG